GACACTTCCTCAGGTGTAAACCTAAAAAAAAAAAAAAAAAAAAAAAAAAAAAATTCAAATTTTAATTGACAGCTCCTACTGAAAAGATTTGAAAGGAAAGACTGACAACATTGTTTCAATGTGACTGGCTGCTATTTCTACATTTATACTGACTTTTAACAGTTTTATGAGATATAATTTGTATGCAATAAAGTTCACCTATTTAAAAATGCACAGAGCAATATATTTACAGAGTTCTGTAGTCATTACCATCTAATTCTAGAACATTTTCATCATCTCCAAAGAAGCTTGTAGCCATTAGCTATTAGGTAACTTCTAAGTCTTCTTTCTATTCTATAAATTTGCCTATTATTGAGTCATAAGTGCTTAAATATTGTAGGTACAAGTCTCCTGTAACATTAATTTATAAGTGTTTTCTCCGACCGTGTGGGGTTTCTTCTCTCTTTCTTGGTGGTGTCTTCTGAAGCACATAGTTTTTAAATTTTGATGAAGGCCCACTTATCAATCTTTTGTCTCTTTTATTTTTGGTGTCATATCTAAGAACTCATTGACAAACTGAAGATAACAAAGATTTACTCTAACATTTTCTTTTAAGAATTTATTATTCTATTTTGTTTTTACATTTGGGTCTATTTTTTGAGTTTATTTTTTTTGTATGCTGAGTTAATTTTTTGTGTATGATTTAGGTAGCAGTCCAACTTCATCCTTTCACATGCAAATATTCATTTGTCCCAGCATCATTTGTCAAAATAAATCTTTCCCCATGGAATTGCCTTGACTGTTTTGTTGAAAATCAATTGATCATAAATGTTAGTTTATTTTTGGATTCTCATTTCTACATTGTTTACATGTATGTCTATCCTTTTATGTTTATATGTATGTCTTATCCTTCATTACTACAACTTTGTAAAAAGTTTGAAATTAAAAATTTTGAGTCTAAAAGCTTTGTTTTGTCCTAATGATATTTTCCAATTTTGTTTTGAGTGTTAAAATTAAATTAAAAATTGTGTATGCAGCTGTTTATTTATATTCTTGGGAAAACTTAAAGTTTATTCCAATGTGAGCGAGCTCTTACAATACTGCAAACCAGGAGTTCTCAAGGTACGATTTGTAAACCCTTAGGTGGTCCTGAGACCCTTTCAAGGATTTATGAGGCTAAAACTATTTTTATTATAATACAAAGATTATTGGGCCAGGGAGTTAGCTTAGTGGTACTGCTGCTTGACTTGCAAGTGCAAGGTCCCAAGTTTGAACCCTGGTACCAAAAAAAAAAAAAAAAGATGTTTGTCTTTTACTCTTGTGCTGACATTTATACTGCAGTGCAAAAGTAAGGATGGTTAAAAATTCTGTATTTTAGTACAAGTCAGTGCAGCAGCACCAAATCACAGTGGTAATCACTGCATTCATATCCAAGCATTGCAAAAACAAGCCATTTTCATTCAAGAATGTCCTTGATGTAACACTGATAACTTTTAGATTTTCAATAATCTTTACCCTGTATTAAATATCTTTCATATTGTATGTGAGTGGAAGTATGCAAAGTATACATATAACGCTTCTGCTGGGCTCTGAAATGCAAGAGTTGTCTTCAGGAAAAGCACTAGAGCAATTGTTTGAATTATGATCTGCTCTCTCTTATGTGGAATACTGTTTTGACTTGAAGTAATTCTTTTTTTTTTAGGTACCGGGGAATGAACTCAGGACCTTATGGTTGTGAAGTATCATGGTGCCACTGAGCTAAATCCCTGGATCTGACTTGAGGTAATTTATTGTTTTTTAAATTTTTTTGAGACAATGTCTCGCTATGTAGTCGAGACTGATCTGGAACTCACTATGTAGCCCAGGCTGGTCTCGAACTCACCGCGATCCTCCTGCTTCAGTCTCCCGAGTGCTGGGATTACAAGCATGCACCACCATGCCTGGCTGACTTGAATTAATTCTCATAAAGTATGACCTATGACATGAGTATATGGCAAATATTTTCTCAAGTATAATGAAGTGAGCCTGGCACTTTAGAGAAAGCAAGTGATATTTTTGTTGTTGTTGCAAATGATAAAATTAGAGCTTTCAAGTGAAAGGTTTTTATCTTCTTTTGAAAACTTGTGTCTGTGATAAAGAGATAGCTTTCTAACCTTTCTAACACTTAAATACTTGCTTGATGAGAAGGTAGTGCTATTAGTCAATACAATTTTTAGAAGTCATTTAATCAAATGTGACAGCATTTGGAAAAATATAACTTTGTATATCAATATTTTTCAAAAGAGTAATGCATGCTGTTATATGCGTTTGTGCTTGAATTTGCTATATTCTTTTTAGTGTAGTAGCAAAAGGGTTACTAGGGAAAATGGCTTAAATTATTTTAATTCATTAGTTATACAAATATTTATTGACTGTCTTAGATATCAGATATAATGCTAGATGTCAAGGATAAGAAGCAGAGATGACGTTGGGATGTAGCTTAGCTGTGCTGCACCTGCCTGGCAAGATCCTGAGTTTGATCCCTGGTACTGGAAGAAGCAGAGATGAATAATATAAACTTCACCATGTCATTATGGACCATAGACCTAGTAAGAAGAAGTTCCATAAATATATGACATATTTTTAAATGACTATAAGTATCACAAAGGAAAAAGTTGGGTGCTAGAATGGAGAATACTAGGGCAGGACTTGTTTTAGAGAGTACTCAGGAGAGGCTTTTCTGAGCATTTGACATTTAAGCTGATATTTGTAGGATATAAAGGAGCTCTGTCTATATCACTCAGTGAATGTGTTTGTGAGTGGGTGAGTGTGGGTGGAAACACAAGTGTGTGACTGTGTGTGAGGACGTGTGGGTCTGGAGTGGAGCCAATATATGTGAGGCATTGAAAGCAGAATGCCTGCAGGCCTGAGTGGTGTGAGCCAGCACACAAACCAGCACAACCAGGGCCCTACATGTTGTGTTAAAAGGTTCAGACATCTTTTTGAATTATCTAAAAGTCCTCTGTTAGAGTACATTTTATTTACACCATTTCAGAGCTAGAAAATGCTCTTGTCACTCTACTTAGAGACAAAAAATCTGGGGTCCAGAGAACTTCTGTGGTTCCTTCAAAGCCCTACAGTGTTGTAGGTAGAGCAATTCAGGACTTCTAGGCTGGGTTCATTGTTGTCATACCCTTCCATTCAAGGATGCAGAAATAGAGCACTTCTGTAGCTGTGTTTCACTTTGAGAAAGTATAGTCCACTTTAGACAAGTTATCCCTATGTTTTCAGCAGGAAGATTGCCTAGGGCTGAAATGCCTTACATGTAGAAGTCTTCAGTTTTTGGAGTTATTTCAGACACATAAACATCTCTGCATGTTTTTAAAAAGAAGACATTTAGGCTTAAAAGAGGGAAAGACAGGAAAATAAAATTGTGAGGGCTTCTGGGATACTGTACAGACTGTACTCTGAGTGAAACAAGGGACCTTGGAGGGCTCTGAGCAGAGGAATGACATGATCTGACATATTTGAAAGGATAGCTTGGCTGCTGTGTGCAGAGGAGCCTGGACAGGCTCCAGGAAAGAAGTAGAAATGGTAGAAGGCAATTACCATGATCTGAATTAGGGAAGATGGTGGCTTAGACCCATATATGAGCTGCATATATAGTGAGAAGTAGTTGTATTCTAAATATTTTTAAGGTAGGTCGGGTAGAATCCCTTGCAGATTGAACATGAAATATAAGAGAAAGAGGAGTCAAAGAAGACTATGGAATTTCTGGCTTGTGCTCCTGGAAAGATGAAGTTGTCATGAAATAGAAGGGGAAGTGTGGAGTTGACAGGCTTGGAAGGAAGGATCAAGAGGTCTACTTGACATCCAAATGGAGTTATAGGGCTGGGGATTTAGCTCAGTGGTTCCATTGCCTGCCTCACAAGCTAAGGTCCCAAGTTCGATTCCCAGTACAAAACAAAACAAAACAAAAAAATAAACCAAAAAACCCAAAACATACCAAAACAAAGAAAAAACAAACCAAATGGAGTTATAAAGGAAGGTGGCTGGAGTTAGGGAGTTGCAGAGCCAAAGATATAGACTTAGAATTATCAGTATATGGCTGGCACACTATCTACAGAGTTAGGAAGCCCAGATGCCACTGGGAAGGGAGTGAATGATGATATGTATTAGTCAGTGCTTACAAGAGCTTGCAGGTCTGGGGCAAGGCTCCTCAAATGACTTCATATGCTCTGGATCAGATTTAATGGAGGACATAGAAATT